ATCAGGTCAATCGTACTCCCGCTTATTCTCTACAGCAGCGTATAATGGACGTTGTACCGGAAGGATATTCCATGTCTGAAGCGATTTCATCAACAATGTATTCATCGTATATTGTGCATCCCTTGGTGCCACCAAGTTGCTTGATACGATTGTGCTCCACCTGAGCGGAACGTACAGAATTGATTGTAAACTGCTGCTGCGATACCTGCAGTTGCACGGACATGTCCACTGTATGGATGCGATCAGGATACTAAAACTTCTGCTGTATGGAGCACTACTTAGGGAAAACAGGAGTGCAAGCAGACCGACACTACACTCTCGTGACATGATCAATATGAGTTCGGTATGATCAAATGTTGAACTTATGTGTTGGGAAGCAATGGGGGAAATCGCTGCCAATGACCTCACCACTTCAAGTATGTTTTTGCCAAGATACATCCGACAGTGCTGTTGCTTCAAGTAGAAAATAGCCGGCTACGGAAGTAACGGGCACCGACTGAGCATAGTCCGTCTACGTCAAGCACCTTGTGCTGTTGCACATGCAGTAGTGTGTAGCAGGCGAGTCGAGTTGGTCAATCATCAGCGGAGCCACCAGGAGTTAAAAATGGACACGACGAGTAAGTCGGCTTGTGCATGTGCGTTCGTGTTTTCGCTTGTGACGCTTTATTTTCACTGATATCCTTTTTTGGTTGCGCTTGGCGTGAATGTTGACGAGAAGCCCAGCTGTCAAACGGAACAACCTCGGATATGGTCTCCAGTAGATTGTTACTCGTTGCTGGAGGACATTTATATGCCTAAAGATTGATTCCATCCACGGTGGAACAGGCTATGTCAAGCCACCGCCCAGTGCGCGTCTGACACGAATTTCTCCCTGTCCAAATGGCCGATGTGCATGTAGGAGTGTGGGCCATTTCTGAATTAATCGTGGCTTCTATCTACCTGCCTCCTCTTCTTATTCATCCTTCTTTCCATTGGATATGTAATGCGTAGGCCAATGGTATACTGGTGAAAAAAGCCGAAGCTTGCCATGTACCGCCGGATGATCGGTCAAGGGTGAGTAAAATGAAGGCAAAAATAGCAACAGGAAATAGTGAACAACCAGAAATGGCTAACTTACCGGTCAAAGTGTTCCCTGTCTGAGTAGTCCACACTTGAATTTATCGAAGCTAATCACCTGTGGTTTCCAGGCCAAATGGGGACGGGTTGATGTGTATTTGTTATTCTGTTGTTTGTCTGCCTCGTTTGGGTTAGGTGATGTGGTGTAGTAAGGTCAGTGCATCGTCAACACGAGCTATGAACACAGTTGACGTGGGGGGCTGTAATTTCAGCTTCAGAGAGAGAGAGCACTCCATATGTGGCAAACACGCAATGAGAAAAAATTTCTTCGACACTCCAAGCGGCTGTATTGTTCTGCCAAGTTCAGATGATTACCTTTCAGTCTGTTGTTGTGACTCAGCTTCGACATTTGATGGCGCGGATTTGGCAACCTATGGTTAGGTTGCCAAACAAACTCTGATAGCCTCCGCTAAAAATGCATAGCACTCTGAGGCGTTGTTCGCACGGAACGCGTAGTAGCCCTTTAACACATTTGGTCACTCGATGTGGAATCGCCAAGGTAGCGAGATTCCACTTCAGCCATGAATCCACTGCTTAAAATACATATTTAACATGTGGGCGTATGTAAGCGAGAAGTAGTTGGCAGAATTAGATGATTTGAAGCATCCGAAGCTCTCCGTAGATGCCCAACGATTTGGATACCCTTCTTCGATGGTTTTTTTGAATTGTCCCCAGCATCCGAAATCTTTCTGGACCAGCACATTGAGGTACTTTTTGTGGAACCAGTGTTGAAGCTGTGGTCCTCTAGCTTATAAAGGTGAACCACTCGGTGTCGTAAGTGGAGCGCTCGACATTTAGCTAAATTGAATTAAAAGTTGATTTTGGACCGAACATCCATACCATTTGTCAAGGTCGTGCTGGAGCTGGATATGATTTCCTGAAACTCTGATCGCGCCCTAAAACTTGCTGTCATCGGCGTGGTATAAACAGTTTGACACGCTTTGGCTCACTAGATCATTTATGAAGACCAAGAATTGACTTGGCTCCGGGACCGAACACTATGGCACACTCCGCATTCGACGTGAATTGGGTCTGACAGGTATTCACATCCTCTCACCTCAATGAGTCTGTACGAGAGATAATTACAAGTCTACCCGAGGAGCTGATGTCAAATGCCACATCTTTGACGTCGGGTGGGGAGAATACCTTGGTTCAACCGGGAAGTCATGGTAAGCCACATCACCTCCTGCCCAAGCATCCAATTTTTTGGTCCAGCTGTCTCCTGCTTACAGCAGGTTTGTGGTGGTCTACTGATTCTGGCGAAGGCCGTGTTATTGCTGGGCAATGTGGCTAAAACTTTCCAAGTAAGACATGGATATTTCAGCGACGATAGATTGCATAACTTTTGAACTAACTGGCAGAAGAGTCACTAGTTGATAATTGGCTGAGTAGGAACGGCTACCCCCTTTGCAAATTAGAGCTATTATCCCAGGTTCCACATGGCAAGAAAGCGCGTGTCGTTAAGGCAGTGCTGGAATAACCGCGCCAAATGTCCAGCCAAAACATTAGCCTACACAGTAATCGTCGTTGGACAGATGTCATCAGTTTCAGGACAGGCGTTCAGGCGCATGTATAGCATGGATGGAATGCAAGCCATTCGTGATCCCCATGTAGACGCGGACATCCTATGGTTGTGAGCCGGGATAACGGCAAGAAATCCGGAAACGGAAGCCGTCATATATATATATATATATATATATATATATATATATGCAATCCAGTTAGCTGGCACTAACAGCTAACTACGCAATCTTGGTTCAGATCCTGATGTTCTCATTTGTGTAGAGATTTGATTGTTTAGCTTCCCCCTCAAATTACAGAAGGCTCATGCATTTAAACGGATAAGTAACCTTGGTCTCGCATTTTAGCAACTGGATATTGTGGGACCTCCAACTCAGCATGCATTGACTCACCTTTACCAACATCGCAATCATCGCAGTTTATTCATCAATACGAGCGACTCACTAGATTACAATTCAACGCGATTGTGTTTCTAAAGCTGGATTAATATCGAAAGTTTAATATCCGGTTCCGTGGCACATTGTCAAGTGAGCCGGAAGTTATATGTCGGTGATGCTTTAGGTTATTGTTGAAATAGTTTGTGTTTTTTATTAATCCAATAGAGTGGGGACCAGATGTTCAATAGGAAACGAACCAATGCAGATGAAAGCCGCAGTTGCGTAAATTGGTCATCTACAGGATAGAATCCGTGTGATGGAGATGCAGACTAGTTGCCATAGTGCTAAAAGCCAGGCAAGCTCTCTTAGTAAATCTTTAGTACTGGACGGAATGCCGCTCAGTGAAGTCATATAAAAATCAGAAATTTCCACACCGTTGTTAACCATATAATACTGCGGTCTCTGAAAAGCTCCATGTGAGACGTCTTCTTACATACTAAGTGCACGCTTGAGAGATAACTCGTACACAAGCATGATCCGAGTGCCGATTACGCAAGCTTTCGCCATTGAAATACTGTTTCACGGACCATTGTTTCGCTGCATATCTCTAGTGCACTCCAAATGAAGAATAGAATGCGTTATCTCCATAGTTTCTCGGCAAATTAGTGTAGCCCAAGGTACTATTCGTCACAGGGATTCCAGTTATAGACTGTATGCCAGGATATTTCGTTTTACTGAATGCGATCAAGTGACAAAAATTGCCCTTTTGCTTGCAAAATGGTGACTCGAAACTGACCAACACCGTTTTTATCGAGTAGTGCACACAAGGGACATAATCGATTAATTGGTCTTTGTATGCTTGTTTTTCACAAATTTTAAAGTAACATTTTGCACTCTAACTATGTGGGTCTTATGGTAATTATGGCAACAGAAACCAAAATTAAATTCCCATGGATAATAAACTAGCTTGTCACTGGGCATACCTCTAGACCACATCGAAGCAATGGCTGGCAACCACGGAATCACTCATCGGGCTTGGTACCCAGGCTCGGACACAGAAAATGATTGCTCCAAAGGTGCATTATGGAAACACATTTTGGGTAGTAAATCGACCTCTACTGCTGCTATCTTGGTCGATGCGATGTATCCTCACTGCACACTTCTTCATCATAACTACAGACATCTGCTTTCCTTCACATAGGGCGTATTATCATTTGAGTACGGTTTTGGGGTTATTCCATTTTCCCGGATAATTCATTGCGAGTTATTTGTGTTGCCGGGCTCAATGGATTTATCAACATCCCTGCGTATCATTCCGACGCGTCTCCTTTCTTTGAACGAGTACGGCGTTGAAGAAGGGCGGTTAAGTGTCAACTCGATGATGGCTTCAATTCACATGCGTTCCAGCCTTACTTTCTGGGTTCCGTTGGATATTATGTGTTATTGTTATAGTGAGCAATGTAAGTCAGGCCCACTTCAATTTTTCTTCAGTGCAAACACCCATTAGGTGTTTACCCTTCTCTTAACAAGGAAACGTTGGAAAGGTTGCTGCCAGTTACGACTATTACATAAATGATGGGCAGAAAATACATGTTGACATAGCTAACAGAATTCGTAATTACACAAAAGACCATCTCATACACTATCTCGTGTGGATAAGTCAGACAATCAAAAATAAGTAGGCCTCCTTATTACTGATTATCTATACCGTTCAAAGCCATGTCATTGGAATTTTGCGTCTTTGCGCACAGTCACTGTTGCACTCGTTGATCATATCACCCACTTACTTGTTTGGCTGTGGTTGGAGCTCACAATGAACCCTTGCTGCAAAGCATTCATATTAGGACTGACTAAATCACATCCACTACCTTTGGCTACCACTTTATATAAACGAAAATATTGATAACGATAAAAGTTTGGACCTTTGATGGATTACAAGTTTCAGGTGCAATTATCCACTTCATGGATTTGTGAACACGAACTCACTTTGAAGAATACGCTTATTGCAGCAAGACCGTGTGGCCTGGTGGCCGCTTGCGTGTAGGTCTGATATAATTCGCTGTTAAAAGCATATATCTGAAGCTGGACGATGGAGAAATAGTTGGATTACCTTAAAGGTACTCGATGGCTGTTGGTTGGTGTGTAATATTTAACTGCGTACAAATAACCATAACCTACAAATAGTTTATTGCAATACAGCAGTGAGAAAATTGTTAACTGCATTAACATCTTGACACTGCACAGTTCCAGTAAAATCACCAACATCTAAAAGACAATTGTGAAAGACATGATAAGAGTCTAGGGCGCGTGTAGTTGGATTTTCCTAATCTTCACGTGAATAGAAACATAACTGTATATACTAAACTTTGACTGGAATGGAAGGTGGTCTGGTCATTAGTTCATCAAACCAATTTTCAAATACCACAGATACACCAGTAAACGGCAATCCACTGGTCAAAAAATCGTAGTGCTAAAACTTCCGGAGTCATTCGTTACAGATCTACTGAGCGGAAAACTGTACCCCCGGGCTCCTCAAGTTGGTCTTGTGGATTAATCTCAGAGGACAGCGATAAATATGCTCGAGGTGGTTGAGGATTTCTTCCACCATTATGATGTCACCATTCGCACGCTGATGCGTTCAGCTGTACTCTTCCTTAGGCGACAACATAGCTTGATGAGGAAGATGAACCAAGCTCCTAGTATCTTGACCTATCTACCCTTGGGAGCCACATGTGCAACAAGCTAGAGCTTCAACTATATCTATCACTCAAGGCATAGTCTGCATGATATCTCAAGTAAGGGCAGAGTTTTGTAGAAAGATAAAGGAGGCGAGGTGCAAAATGATTTTCCAGTTGTTTGGAACATTGTTTATCTTTCTTGATGTTCCTTTAACCTGCCTCTAACAGACAATCTCGACCTGCGCGAGTGATCTTTTCTCTCCGTTATGAGAAGAATATTGTGAAGATTAGGCATCTGTTAGTGCGCTTAATCTCATGAATGTTAAATGCTCAACACTGCAGTTAACCATTAAATGTTAACGCGCTCTGGCTGGACTGTGAGTTAATCTCCTCGGGGCTGTCCTGAAAGGCTGCGCGATAAACAATTGTATAAATTAACTGAAATATCAGAGAGCTGGGAATTTGAGCACATCAGCCCCAAAGATGTTTAGTAAAACCAAGAAGAGTTGTGGCTCCGTGTTGAGTATTGTGGTGCACTGCACTGAAATTTCATCTATAAACAATAAACAACGATTTATGCCGGTTAAAAAAGCAGTTGTTTGACAAGTTCCGCAGGATGGTGGGGGTAAAACTACAATTATCAAAAGAGAGGTGAGCTGTCTGTTTGAGCGTTTATCTAGCAGGTACTCTGCTGCACAATAGTAGTGTAAGTCGGAATGGAATGCTAACGATGAGGCAATATGAGCACTATTATAGTTGTTGTACTCGGTGAGAAGAGTAAAAACGAGAATACTCAATTCTGTACCGCTTCCACAGGTTTATGTAATATGTTTACCCGGTTTGAAGGGATAAGTAATATAATCCAAAGTTGCGAAATTTAGGCAGCGAAGTGATGCGTGTCAAGGGCAAGATCCAATCGAAGTTTGGGAGAGAGTTCCAGGGTAGGCGAACCCGTAAATAAAAATAATTCCGCCGGCATTCCAGGCGGCTATACTGTGCACACAATTTCAGAGAGTTACTTCTGAGGTTAGTGTTGTGGTTGGCTTTCAGCAAGGGATGGCATAGTGATTAGGCTCACTCAATAGGATAATGATACCCGAATTCAAATTCCACTCATACGTAGAGTAGCAAATATAACCTGTTTTTTGGTCAAATGCTACTACAAATTTTTAGTATTCTTACCCTGGCATAGCAGTATATTTTAAACCAATAGTGAGATTTTGCCCTTAGCCAAGATTATGACTGCCTACGTGTGCTTAGGGTACAATTTAGTTAGGAAATTCCAGTGGACTAGTTATGTTTAATAGGGAAATGTTGTAGTCCAATTTGGTCAGGAGCTAGAGTTGTTGAACTGCAGTCTTGTGTTATCAAAATACCCGAAACATGTAAACCTTATGTCAAATGTTGACTCTGGTTTACAGCCTCATTAGTGTGATATTGCAGAATCCTAAGTAGAGAATTATAATTAGTTGTTTGCAGTCAGCTCTAATTCAAACCGCAACCCTGCTGTTTTGTTAAGCAGCAGCTGATTATTCCAATGAGTATGATATCGCAAATCAATTCCGTCATTAGTTTCAGCTTTCATCCACAAGTTTCTGTTGCCTCACGTTCCTAGGCGGAGAAGGACACCGAATGGAGCATCCGTTGGAGGCATTAGCAAACGGTCTATCTGACGACTCCTTGCAGGTGTCTTATTACTTTGTTAAATTAATAAAAATAACTTATGTCCCACACCCAACGATACCGTGTATAGAATGCCTCCCAAACGTCGAAGTCGGATAGTTTTATTTATATAACCTTATCTGTTAGAATATCTATGGGGTACTTAAGCACTGCGAAAGTATTCGTTTCAACGGAAGTTCTCTCCCTAAGCTGTTGCATCGGTGAGGCAGCGTTGCCTTAGTCTGGAAAATGGTGCCTTAATCAAATGTCACAAATCTGAGTTTGCAACACGACGCAAGTGTCATACATTTTTTCAGGTAAAAACTGAATATGAAAATTTGACGAAAAGCATTGGTTTTGTTGTCATTAGATGGTTGGTTACTTTTAATTTTGTACAATGCACTAACCGAAGTTTTAAACTTTAGCTAACTGTTTGGCCTTTGTCATGTCACTTGCGTACTAAGCCAACAGAAAAGTCAGTGGAAGGAGTCAAAGACTCATTATTACTGGTTTTTATTAGAATACCAGCTGTCTGGTCCTGTCAGCTGCTTACGCTATCTTCGCAAGATAGCATGGCCATCTGGATCAATGTTTGCCCAGTTGTCATGAAGTCCTTATGTGTGTAATATAATATAAGAAATGGCTAGATACAAATTTAGGTTTTGGTGGTCCAATTTTTCTTAAAACGGACTACCTGAATAACCTAACGTTGTGATCTGGTGAGTCACGCACTACCAACATTGCATGAGGATTGCACACGATGTTTCCTAGTGGTCATTTTGAACTAGAATTTGTGATTATGCAAACGATACTTATCAGAAAGAGTGGACTCTTAAAAAGCAGTCAGTTCATACACAGTTACGTAGAACATTTGTGGAGGCTGAACATATCTCACCTCACCGGGTAGTGCGATGCCGTCGATGCGGTGATCTGAACCTCTAGTTGATACGGAACCAAATTTGATCCGAATTGAAAATACATGATAGGAGTAGGAAACTGGTCCGCCTGTCAAAATGACGTCGTCTGATAGGATTGATAGCTGAATGTCTTGGCCAATATTTTCTACTATCAGATCTAGCTGGCAATGTACAATCATAGATTGTTTATTAGCTTCCGGGCGTCAAGAGTAAATTACAACAATCTGTGCTGATTTTTCTGTAAAAAGCTTTAAACTGAGCACACAAGGCGGATGGATAACAATCATAGCCAAAATCGACTAACTTGGTTATCTTTCCCTGAGATGGCGATGGCCTCCAAAGAATGGTCGAATATTAGGCTATTCGTCTGAATGTCAATTGGAGATTGCCTCTTTCCGTATCGGCATAGAGACCAGTCAGCATCAACCCTCTTGTCGACTCGCTCTAAGCCCCAGCTTGCTGGTCCTGTGATACACGGACAATAAGGGAAATGTGTAAGTTTACAACCTAAGTTCATCTAGATTTGGACAGTCTGGAGTTGCTCTTGCCGAGCCCAATAGATATGCTGTTGGCTGTCATGGGTACAAGAAGATGCTAGAGTAGCAAGAAAAGTGACAAGCGCGCTCCGAATCTATCAGGCTTAGATGCTTCTAACAACAGATGAACCGACTACATCAGTCTAACTAAATTTTCACTCTTTGTGAGACGGAACTAAAATCAAAAATCGGGTGACCCTTCCCTGAAAGCACCACAATGACCAGTTATTTAAATTTACCGGCTAAAGGCAGTGTTTATGAGGCACTGAAATAAAATATTGGGAACAAAACTTGCCTCACGGCAGCTATCAAGTTGTAGATAGAAGGCTGAATCAGTGTACGATGCCGTCAGCAATAGGGGGTTTTAGTGAATCCCGTACAGCTTGTTGATTATGGTTTGTTCTTCGTGAAACACATTAGGTATTTGATTTGCTTAGAACTTGAGTATAGTATAACGAGCAACCATTTTCATAAATAATTATTCATGTTTACTCAAACTTAACCGGTTAATTTTCGTTGCGCCTTCCCCTCACTCTTTTCGAATAAGTGTCGAAGCGTGACTTGTGTTGCCTGACCGTATTTGGCACGAGGAAATGAAATTGTGGGGCAATAAATTTGATGGAGCTAATAACACAGAAAATTTTGTAAACATTCGATACTGAAATTTTTTCGTACTTAAAGTCCACTGCATTATTTTTGCAAAGTAACATGATGCCTACGCATTGCTCGCATTCGACACTGAGTACTCGTCCTTCAAAATTTGAGGTAAATGTTTTTATGCATATGTAGTAAACGTTTAACAATTCACTCACCTTTAGATCCCTCGGGTTTGTAACTCCATGTAAAATCTGGGACTTCCGAAATAAAATTGTGCCGAACACGAGAGCGCTCAGCGATGCAGAGTACAGTCAGAATACCTTGAAAAAATAGGTGGGGAAACAAGAGCCGGTTAAAACGTACAACAAGCAATACGAACAGTGCACAGGAATGTACCGCCCTCATCCGCATGATCACGTCGACTGGGACGATCGCTGTATGCTATTTGGTTTAACCTGTTCCAATTCTAATTAGCGTCAAATTATTCATGGCGGCATTCAATGAGTTCGTGTGTGCACCACTGCAGGCTAATTCATTTCTTTTTTCCGTGAAAAATATTCACTAATATTTTTCTCTGTAAGGCAAGATGACCGCTGCAACAGGCATTTAAATTAGGTTTACACATTGGAGTACACCATTCCATGGAACCAGTATGTACGTGGTTATACTATTTATTCCGACTAAAAACACCCTACCAAGGGTAACCCGGTGCTAAAGTAATTCGTTTTATTTGAAGATTGAAGTGGCTAAGTGATAGGATAGATTGGGAAAAGTTATAGAAATGGCACGTATATGTAAACAAAAGAGATTGGATACCTAGAATGCCTAAGTCCCTGCCAACAGAAGATATGACGTATTTCCTGCTCACAATGAACCTTGAGCTGTCTGTCTTGAATAATCTAGCAAAATCACTACTAAGATAGTAAGACTAGAGGTTCACTAACATAGCTTCCTTTTGTTATGTTAGAATGAATAAGTTATTGACCAGGTAAATCCAGTGGAGTGTTTTACAGCTCATGCTAGACCACAAATACTCCCTGAATAGGCAGCAGCAAGTCGTCATGCACCAGAAACAATATGTGTCCATTGCTCCTTATTCGGGGTCTGAAACCAAAAACAAGCACATGTCGACATTTCAGGATTGGACTTGTTACACCGTTAACCGTGCTTAGTGCATGTCATGCCTTAAATTCGTTGTTTGGAGAACGAACTATGGTACATAATTACGCATAGAGTGCATTATTTAGGGCTAAATATTGCTTCAGTTTTCATCAGGATTTGCACTTGCTATTCTGCATATCAAAATTTTCTTGACATATTTGGCTGTAAACTTGCGCTTAAAATGCATGTATTCATTAGCCAATTCTTCAGCAAGTTGTTGTATGTAAGTAACCTCATAAAGTTCACACGGCTTTGGCTGTTGGTAGACATCAAATAGTTTCACTCTTGTAGCAGTGAATCCCACTAGCACTATCCAATCGTTGGCCTCCACTCCGTGATGGTAAGCGACTGGATAGGTAAACTAGTAAGCAATGGTTAACAGGCGTTTTGGTATTTGTGTAAAGGCTAGGTAGATGACAATTACACAAACTTTCTTCACGGCTCTGAAGCGTGTGTTTAGGACGCTGTACTTTGCCAGGGTAATTTTAGACCAACATTCGTTTTACAGGGCGAAAGCGCAATGTGTGAGCACATCACATGCGACTCATATGACGCTGTCGGATAAGATAAACATCATCCGTCTGCTTCTGGTCAGTTATGAATTAAAAATGTGTCGGAACTATTTTCTTACATACAATCCCTGTGTTCCCCTTGAGCTGTGAAATTAAGCTGTTGATAAGCACACCCTACGATTTCCGTGATCACAGCGGCAGACGATTTTCATTAGAAGATGGCAAACCCGCTCAAAGAGGATAAGAAATAACTTGCAGCTTTTTCATTGGTAGATGAATTGTGCGGAAAACAAATAGCCTAACGCCAAGGAGTTCGAAGAGCCTACACTGGTACTCTCTTAATCATGCTCTACTTGGCAAACAGATGACGTCCGACAATGGATTGCGAAACTACTTCGACGCCTTGTATACATCAGTACATATACCGTTATGGAAGTGAACCGGATTTCGTATAAGCTACTTACCAAAATGTAATCGGCCACCAAAGAGCATTGCTGGGTTTGGCTTAATCTTTAAAATTAAGTTTGCCTGGTAGCTGTCATTACATACTTTGCATTTGAATGACAGTGGAAGCAATCTTTCACCGAGTCAATACTGGTTTGCTGGTGGTTGTCATCAAGGACAAACAGGCACGGTTTGTCAAAGCGCGACTTCGAAACTTTGTGCCAGCCAACCAATCTGAGAGCGCGCATCAGCTGTTCTCTAGGATCTAGTCGATCGGGGCAGCTTCACCCCGGGAGCTCACACCAATGCCCACGCCTGCTTGACCGTGCTAGAAGCTGCTTCACATCCGGTCAAAGACAAGGAGAAAATATCTCCAGTTTAGCGCGTGGGGAATCGCAGAGTAAGCATGGAGCTCGAATCGTGTAGGCGAGTTTCCGATAAGCAGCAAGTTTTGATCGATAGGGTGTCTAGCCTTCAGGCAAGTGCTATCTCTTGGCCAATTTGGGTACTTTGAGGAATGACAGTATTAGGGAGGATCGAGCGCTCCAAAGAGAAACTGAATAACTGAATTTTTCCGCGTGGATGGCCAGGGACTTGTCGATTGAAGCGGAGCGATACCCTGCGATTGCTTGTGAGTTGGAACTAGAAGACAAACGACTATTAAATCAAGATGAAGGAGGGCCAAAATGTGTAGGTTGCAAATAGTGAAGATAAAACTGAAGTTGGAACATTACGATAAGGAGAAAAAGTGCAAGAGGAGGAATAAGAATGCGGAAAGGCCTGAGCAGTGGCATCCAAATCCATATCCACCCTGTTCGATACAGCAGATAGGGCACCGTTGTTTATCTTCTACGACGGATAAAGCATAAAGAAGTTGTTCGAAGGAAAGTCATTGTGTTATATTACGTGGGCTGGTTACCCAGGCCTAGACAGCAGGGGGATTCGGGTTCTCAACCAAAGACATTATTTCAAAACCTGACGGCAATGCAGCAGCGTTTTGGTATTGGGCTACAAAGAACCCATTTTATGGAGTAAGGCGCCACCGTCACTCCAACTGCCAATCTCGAAGACTAGCAGCTTGAGTTTGTAAGTAATCTAACCATTGACCCATCTAGTATGAGTGACTCTGTAGGTGAAAAACACCATCCTGCGTCGCTCAATCGAACGCTGAGGCAAGCAATTCATCTCACCAAGTTAAGGTCCAGTCTTATCGCGATAAAAGACATAAACACAATGAACTTAGTATGCCTAATTGTGGACTTGACAATCCGGTGAGCCAAATATTGGCCATTCGCAGGTTTCATAGTGGTACTTAGGATAAGTCAAAGATAATTACAAGGGATGTTGGTGTAAACAGATGCCACAGGCAAGTAGTTTAGTGCTTATAATACTAACTAAAGAAGGGTTCACCATGCTTGTTGCGTCCAAGGGCTTGAAGGTTAGGTAGTATTTAATAGAACAAGCAATACAGGTCCTTTCGAAATGGTCGTTGCTTGAATTGCCTGCGACGCGCAATCTCAATCTGCGCCGCAACTCGCATTGAAACGGGCCTTGATTAATTTGATCAGTGGGATTGCACATGAAACATAAGGCTATTGGCTGTTGCATCCCGCACTCAACAACAATGTTCAAACCCGGTTGATCTCATTGAATAAAGATTGCAGTACTGCACTCGAACCCGGGGTATTTGGGATGTCTGCCGAAGCATCCACTCCTAAGGCACGAGTCGCGGTTCACATCTATATTTCGTATTGCAATCCATTCGCACAAGGACTGATTTAAATTGACTACTCCAAGCAAACATTAACCACCACGGCAAGCGTTATCCATCGTGACCCGGCGGCTAGAGGAATATAAGCCCCAACTAACATCCCAATAGTTCCTGGTACTAGGCCTGCTATCTCCACCTGGTGAACAAATCAGATAGAAACGCGTCGTGGTGGGCGGTGTTTTCGGGCCTAGGACACCCAAACTCCATTTGCTAGCTGACGCCGGTTTGAAGTAAAGCAAACCCTACCTTAAGTTTATGAGCTTTGAAATTAATCAAGTTCGGAAACAAAATCGTATATGTATATTAGATGTCCGGAATATTCTTTCTTAACGGTGCATTCATTCCATAAATGTCGAAATCTTCCTCGCCAAGAGTGTGATTGTGGCATAGGGAAACAACTTTGCTTAAGGAATAAGCGATGGTAAGAATAGGTAAAACTTAGTTACTCTCTCTTTTTGTAAGCTCATCCCACTCCGCTCTTTCCCTCCGTTCAGTGGACATTTCCACACTTGCCACTACAATCAGCAGTTTGGCAATGTTTACTGGTAACAAGGGTATTGCCACATGACGAGACCACATATCCGCTCATTTAAAAGCAAAGTGGCACTAGTTAGTTGGATTTATGGCTCCTCGCTCAGTGCCCAATATTGTTGGTTGAACAGTTTGATTGGTAAAACCACTACACATTATTCATTATCTGACTATTCTTTGGTGACTTCAAGTCGATAGAAAAGTAGTCAAAAGTATATACTCACCAATTGACGCGTAGGCATACCATAAACAGAGTTTCTTGCACACAGTTTGTGTGTTCATTCTTGCCGCATTTCCTGCTAGAACGATATAAATAATTGCACTTCCATAGTTAGCGTCTAACTTGAATTCCCGGCACCAAAGCAGTGCGCTTTCCTGTATCTAATGCTGTTCTTTATTAGCCGCCATTAGTCTTACATACATTTTAGCGCACAGCTCGGACTAATGAGCACCACAGAGGAAGTGTCGTAGGTTTTTAAGCGAAAGAGATGAGGGTGGATGAACTCGAAAAGTCACCAAAAGCTATGATTGGTCGAAGTTACAACGGGTGTGTTCTCCGCCGTTCTCATTCGTCTCGCCACACAACTGTTCCGCAGATTTGTTTTTTGTATCATTAGACTTGAAAGAAGTAGAATGTGTCGGACAGCAGAACTGATTTTAACATCCTCTTTAGAAAAAACGGGAGTCATGCTTACTTGGTGTTCATCGAATCTTCCGTACTTTTGTAAAGCATCGAACAGGGATGTAAAGACAAAGGTCGGCTTACTGTCATTTAGAGGCAGAAATTCGGTACATCTAGACTCACTCGGACAGCCGTCACACGTCCGGAAAAGCACTGTACGCGCGTTTCATCCTTTCGGGAATCGTCAGCAGTGCGCATTCCATCGGACCCTGGTAGGGCTCGAATCCGCAACTCGACTGTTGCCAGTCCGTGGTTGAGACCACTGAACTACTGGAGACGGCAACGATCATCGTGAATTAGTTAGTAGATGTGATATGGCAACTATCATGGACACCCACACCAGAATCCCAGTTACTTGACTGGCGCGGGACAACAACCAAACTGGGCTGATGGTAAGGCGCAACCATATAACAACAATAGCCCAATTATGCTAATCCTCGTCTGTAGCAAGTACAAGAGACTCTTGATCCCACTCCTTTAAAGTATATCTTATCGCTTCGAGCAATTGAAGGAGAGCCTTGTGCAACACATATGAAAAATAAAATTGAACGCATGTGCCACTAAATGTACGCGTCCCTATCGATTTGTTTCACTTTTTAGTGGTAGCCATAACTGCCTAGTGTCTGAGCTGTCACGGCAAAGGTGAGTGGGTCTATTCACTAACAAGAATCTTGCCATATCTACCGCCAACGTAGGAAGTTGTTTCTTGTTAGGTGACATATGTTTTCCATATCTTATTCACGGTAAGCTGAACGTTGCTGCGACGTTTTGTGTAGATGAGGTTACTTTTTAATCAAATTCGATCACTAACACACAATGCTTCACACATACTATGGAAGTCGCCACATAACTACCTCAGAAACGCGAGAACATATAAAACTGGTTGGAATCAGTAAGTATATCAAATGAATAATCAATCAACATCGCTCTGATTTTCGGCGAGCCGGCATTTATCCAGTTAGTTTACGGATGGGTAGAAGTGAGTTACACTGCAAGATAACCTGTCCTGACTGTTGATTTGTTTGAAAAGTATATACCAATGGATCCCTGGGTAACTCCAATAACCACCGGACGCCATGGACCAGTATGTACCTAAGAACCCAGCGAATAACAAGCATGAAGGAATTCTCTAGAGAAAAGGTCGGCTCAGTTAAAGTAACAAATCTCGTACTGAAACAAGCTCCCATGGTTGTATTGAATCTCTAGTTATTATTTGGCCACGTCAATGGGCATTGTGTTCATTACCCGACTAGTAATCGCTTTTGGTGGCCTACACCTAGATCCCCCTAAGTGAGATACCTTTGGTGCAAAATAAACAAAATGAATTTTATTTAGCTTTTTGGTCAGTATTGGCCAACATGTCCAATCTCTTTAAACGGACCCTAATTCTGGCAGAACGGTACTTGAGACAATCAGATCGGATGCTTCGAGCGTGTGCACGATTTTCAGCCGTTAGCTCCGTTGTCCACGCCGTTTGAACAACAAAAACCCAAAAGCAACAAGTAAACCGCCACTTGTGACCCTATTTGTACGGCTGCTGGACGTTTACTTCCACAAACCTTCACCAAACAATGCTGATACCAGCAATTTGCTACCGTCTAAATTACACGATATCAAGGGGAGTGCCTAGGAAAGTTGACATAATTCACCGTGAGCGAACCAATCAAATATGGGCGCCCATTTCTGTTTGTAAAGGGCCTCAAACTGGTCTACTGACTTCATCCAGATCAGCTACAAATGTGCATGAGAAGCATCTGTGATAACCTATCCGCACTAAATAGATCTAATGAACGTTTGCTAATGAAGCTTCCCGCAGTAAAATCCCAAGTACTAGGATACAGATGCCGCATTCCATAAAACTTTACCACACTTGCCGGAAACGTGATCCAAACGTCTGATCCAGTTCGGGACTTAGGAATTTAGTACTCCAACTCTTGCAATTTATTCGAACATGTGCTTTATCAGGTTGCAAAAGCAAGGTAGCTATGCAATTGTAACACCAGAACACAACTTAATTCATTCAAGCTAATCGTGCGACCGGCTCTGGAATACTGTACTATTGTTCAAAACCAATTGGGAAAGATAGAACAGCACTGGAAAATGTCCAACGATCAGTTACCAAGCTGGTCATGGGGCACTGCTCACATCTGAGTTATTATGATCGCTGTCGACAACTCTAAATAGATACACATTGGCTGAGGTGCTTACAGAACAACTTTTTCCTCAACTTCTACAACATTGTTACCCAAGGAATTTAGGCAAACTGCACAGCACCTGAGCTGCAGAAGGCGGCAATCTGCCCCACAAGAAATGGCGGCTAATTGCTACCCTCAAAGCTTGCGTCACAAAACTCGACCGAATTTCTTCTTATTGAGAGACAGTGATCTGTGGAACAAGCTACCACTACAGATACGCATGAGTATAAACCATGTGACATTTCGAAATTCCCCACAGACTTTCCGCACTATTTCAAATGTGTTGAATATCGCTGGCTCACAACAAACCCTAGAAACATTGACGAAAGCTGGTATAAATAACATTTGTGCAGCTAGTTGCTTGCAATCTGCTTGCCCAACCCATATAATTACCGAAGAAATGAAATCCTGTTTCACTGCAACTTATTAACCCTTACCTATTAATATGTAATCCTCGGCGTCACAACCTAGAAAATGGCAATACAAATATCGGTACATACTACATAATAGGTGATCGGATCTAGTAGCCAACGGAAATTTCCTGCTCCGAAATTTTATGTTGTACGCTTGTTTTACAATTACAGTTTTCACATAAACCAGGAAACCTAATCACAGTATAAATAACGTCTTCGCCTATGGGGCCTACACCGTCTGTCGGTAACTATGCCAATTTATTTAATTATTTGCTTACTTAATAAATTGTATAATTGTAAACCGGATAACGGAGAAGGTGTTGCACGTTGCTTGGGTAAGCAAAATGTAGGAATCTCAGATGCGGAGATGGTTTGATGTCTGCTTTCATGAACATTGGGCGACGTTGCGGTTGTATTCAACCATGCCTTATAACCAAAAAGCGTTGAAACATGACACAGATACTGAGATAATGCTGCAAGGGGAAGGTACTCTAATGCGTTGATGGTCTGCGAGTCCTTTTTGTTTGTTGGCATTATTGTTTACCGTCTTTGACAAGTGGAACTAGTTTTTAGACAATAGCCCTGGTCTCTTTATTGCATTCCTACATAAGTATACCCACCAGCATCCAGATGATATGATAAGTGATCTTGCTTACCGTGTAGGGTTCTAATGATCCTTGGTGCAGCGGTCCGCCTCGGGCGGCATGTGACAGGGGGCGACATTTTTAGTACAGATGACTGTTCACTACCGAGTGCACATTGATCAAAACTACTCGCACTACTGAATTGATAAAAATGAAGGATATCAATTATACTGAGAACGCGGATCAAACTGGTACTGCAAATATTAATGTCCGGAAAACAGAAAGTGACAATGACAGCCTGGATTCAGCGGGAAATGTTTGTAGTGCTGATGCGGACGCGGATGTAATTAAGGAATTGGAAATACAACCACTATTTGCACAATACCACCCACGTCAATCGATTTTATGGATACTTGTTAGTGGGCTGTTAAGCTTGGCCATGCAATTCTCACTGTGTTTGTTCGGCTCGGAGCTACTTTCGTGCAACACGTGGATCGTGAATACAGTAATTGGTGTTATCTGGATCGCATACAAAACCTGAAGCTAAGCAACTAATCACGAACTGGTTTCCTCGCTATTTACAAAACGGCAAGCAATGATTGCGACCACGGATGGTGTAGTCTACTTCGCAAGAGCCCCTGTTTGTCTCGGTTGCAGGATGTTTTAAACTTAATAGTCCAGTTTTCGATTAAAGAAGGTTTCTGAAACTAATGGAACCTAAATCCAAAAGCATGTGAACACGAAGCCAGGATATCGCATGATCACGAATTCTCCAACCTCAGGGAGATAGCGATCCGGCTTGCAAAAGAAAATGCAACCGAAAAAAATGTGTAGAAAAAAGTTGACGTGAACTTCAAACTAGAATAATTGATATGGTCAAGTTTGTTGCCAAGTAAAATATGATACTTTGTAGTCACCGAAAAGACATCCGGGATGACGAAGAGGGAATTTTCAGAATTTATGCATTTGTTAGCCAGTTATGAAACTGTTCTTCGCGTACCTTTCTGACAGTTCAGTCTGGAAGGAAAGCCAACACGTTTCCTTTGTCGCTACACATTCAAAATGAATTAGCTAGCATTTTGGTAAAGCAGATGAGAAAGAATATCGTGAATCGGGTCAACAAAAGCAAGTATGTTTGCGTCTTTGATAGCACCCGAGGTATCTCACAAAAATTAGATCGGTGCAAATGAATTGATAGCAGTGGGATCATCTCTCAGCTTCATTGAGGTCAGCAACAAAAACAGGGGCAAGTTCTCGACTGGTTTTGTGAGAACCAGCGAAGCGCGAATTCAGATTGATGGCTACCATCGGAATGCATTAAACAATGCTGCCGTAATGGCGGGCAACCGATCCGGTGTCTAGAGAGGCACCTGCAAAATCAACCATTCCGTGTCTGGTTTGTGCACAT